CTCGTTAGCCATGTTTAGACCCCGAAAAGTCTTGCGTGACCTACTTTTGATGTGCTGGTTTACTCAGCAGACCAAAAATAGATTTGTTGGTTCTCGGGCTACAATGAATGCTTTAGGTACTAGTATGAGAAAAGCCAGACTGGGAAAATGTAACGTTAAAAAAATGCCTCTTTTTAGAAATCCAGTCATACAGAAAATCCCAGTTATCATTGTTTGAGCGTTATAAATAGCAGTCTCTAAATAGGACATTGTTTGGTCTATTGTCTCTCTGTGTGTGAGGGCTGTCCAAGGGATGATGCGGTAAACATCCCCTGACCCGTCCTCCTGCCACTCCCACAACAAAATCTCAAGAGTCCAGTTTCTGTCTCAGCTTCTGTGTGGTCCGGGCCTCGATAATGAGAGATAGTTAGACAGTTTCTTTTTCAGCATCAACGGGTTTCTACTAAATGTGTGGGTTTCAACTCCTGGCACATAGCAGCAATCCGTCTTAATAAGCTCATATTGAACCATGATGTATGTTTAAAGTGGATATATGTAAAAATAAGATGGTATTTTTATGTTTTATTATTATTATTAACTCAATATACATTTTAGAGTCATTCGTACATGTTTGAATATTTAGTTTTGTTTATCTGAGCCATTGATGCATGAGCTGTATTGGGAAGTATCAATGTAGTGGAAAGCGTTACCCTGTTCTGAGATTTGCTGCTATGTCGGCACTTTTTTGTAATTACATTTACGAAGAGATGTAAAAATCCGTCTCAATTCAACGCAGCCATTTTCAAAACAAGCCCTTTGTTAAATGGTTTTTTAGGTAATTATTGATAAATTTTTAAATTGTATTACTCACTTATCCTATATCTTGTGTTGTGTGCTTCTCACTCTTACTGTTCTGTAGAGTAGAGGATGTCTTAATTTTATAACGCAAATACTTGTAAATTCCTGGACCACCTTGCATGAACTTTGAGATCTCTCTACAGTGGTTGCATGATGTTATTCATTGAAAATAGAAAACATGTTTTTTCAACAATAAATAGCACAATAGAGAAGATTATGTCATTTTTCAGATTAAGATTAAGTGATCCTTTATTCGTCTGACAGTGGGGAAATTTCAGTGTTGCATCATCAGTTCCAAAACAGTAGAAATGGGGATTGCACAACTTAAGACAAATGAACTCTAAATTAGATAATAAAACCTTAGAATAAAACCTCTAACGTTAGCATACAAAAGAAGCAAGTATGTTTGAGGGCCCTTTAAACAGAGTATAGGGACTGGGGGGTGTCTACTCAAGTCCTTATTATCCCTGCAGTGTTTTGACTGGTATAATAGCAGCCTATAAGGGGAAGCCAGGCCTTTTCAAAGCCGGATAATAGGATCGCTGAGAGTAACCTGTGTGTGGGAGGGGCTTAAGTCACCAGGACGCGACAGATGTGTTAAACGAAGCCGGATCCCGAGAAACACTGGCCTTTCAACAGACGGCTTTGTGCTAATTGGTCAATGGAGTCGGTCAAAAGATGCAAGAGGAACCCAGCCTCATAAAGCGCAGAGACAAGTGCTCACGGTTCCCTCCAAATTTGTGGGAAATGCGTCTAAAAAAAAAAGCAGTAAAAGGCCTTATAGATAGGTCTTTTAACAAGCTGTAAGTGCAGGTCAATAAATGAGGTCGTAATGCTAAGTGGATTTGTTACAGTCACATGAGGAACGCTTAGAAGATGTAATTTTTTGGCTAGAAATAGGATTGACTTTATTCTATTGTGTGGAGTCACCCTCATGCCATCTGCGTTTGGAATGGCCAGTTTTTTTTATGTAGGCCTCAAGATGTCTCAGTTACCAGATGCTCCTCCCTTTCACTATTCATTAATGTTGCCATATTGGTGATCATACATCAATGTGTAAAGTGTATTTGAATAAGAAAATGGAATAAAAGGACATTGCACAGAAAATTTCAAATACATTTTATAATAGATTTAGTAACCATTGTCTCGCTATTTCAAAATATCCAAATGTAGCCTATAAAAGTCAACTGTATTGGCTGTAGTAAGTTACATTATGGAAAAATTAGGATTGTTCCGTTGAGATGCTATAACAACTGTTTTGGCTTGGGATGGCTCGTCTGCAGACAAGTCAACAAAGGATTGCAGGGATGATAAACTGTAAGCGTCTTGATGTTTGAACGCTGAGGCCTGTATCCCTGTGGGAAATAGATCAGGGAATAATCCTCCAGATTAGCTTTTTGGCTGAAGCTGAGATTCGGCCGGACTTTCCCAGTGTTTTTAATCCATGATACAAAAACACTGTAAACATGACAATAAGCAGAAACTGTGCAAAACATTACATATAAAATATTTGATACTTTATGTACTGTCAGTTTTCTGGTTGTTTTTGATTATCTATATTATTATATTATCATCCTGTCAGTAGCAAACGCAATGTTGACTTTTAATAATATGCATGTTTGTAGATACACGGCCGTTCCCAAAGTCGGGATCATGGCAGTTCTCCTTTGGGAACACAATAAAATGTCTTATCTTGGGGCCCCCCCAAAACAAATCATTATATTAGGATGAATGTACAATGCTTTCTGTTTGAAATTTAAAGGAAAATTCATTTAAATCATTCTTGTTGTTCAAAACAGAGCTTTTGTTGCAATTTTAACCAAATATTTGTACATTTTATATACTGCACAACCTTGGAGGCATCTCTTTAAAGGCTTTGAGGACTTCCAGAGGGCCTCTCACCCCACATTGGGAAACACTGTCGTATTGTATTCGAATAAATATTCCTTTGTAGTCGATCAAAGTAAAAACTGTATAATTTCTTATTATCTTCAATTCTACTTAAATTGAAGGAGACAATTCATCATCTATACTTTATGGTCACTGGCAACCCAATAATATGTTTATGAATCCTAGGTTTAAGCAGGGATATTAGTCTTTTGAAAGATTAGAAAGAGTTAGAAAAACGTAAGAATATTCTTATTTTAAGTAATTTGTTTGTTCCATTGGCAGGTGAAATTGTAAGTCAGTCAAATTATTTTCAAATCAATATAAATAAAATCAATCTATCTACGTACATATCTTTATCTACAACATAAAATGTTTTTTCCTCACAGCCACAAGTTTATTTTTTACTATCTTTGTTTCCACTTATGCCAAAATCTACTTTATACCTCAATGAAGCAATGCCATAATACTAATCTACACTGTGAGAGTGGTCTTTGTACTTGTTTTAAACCCAATTCCTACTTGTAGCCACGCATCAGTCACTCATTCATTCATTCATGGATTCAACTCCAGCACCCCGGATCTGCTTGGACACAGCATGGGTCTGTGGGAGGGGCTGAGATCTGAGACCGAACAATGGGGTCTTGGCGTGGCCTGGGGCATGGCCATCTGCCGCGGAGAGAGTGCGGAGCCTATTGTGTGGAGCTATTGAGGAATGTCTGGGCAGATTGACGAGACCAGGGCCGATTCCTGCTTGGCTCAGATAAAGAGGCAGCAGTGGACCCTCGGGAACAGAGTGTAGGGACGCCAGGGTTTGAAAAGGGACGTGAAAAGGGGAGAGCGGTTTGGAAACGCTGACGTCAGGTTTGAAAGATGCATCTATGACGACAACACACACAGACATTTACATTGGTGGGTTCTGTGGGATTATTGATTTCCCTCCAGCTTCGGTAATCAAAAATTAACCAGCCTTCCAGTTACTTCCTTGGATTACATTTCAAACATGTTCCAGTTCGGTATCTTAAATCTGGGGATAACCCATGTTGTTTGTCCCAACAGAAAGTATTGGAAAAGTCAAATGTTGTGATCCAGACCGTCTTTTTCGAAAGCATTTTACGCACAAAAGAGCCCTGTGAGTCTCCTTCTGGTGCTTTGGGAGCTGGCGCTGATCCTGTTTTTCACTTTACTGATATAAAAGATGTGACAGAGGCCAAATGAATTAAAAAACTTGTGATACTGCTTGACAGGGATTTTTTTCTACATAAGTCTGTATCTTTTTGTGGCTGTAAAGGAGTTTCTTTTTTGCATGAACCTAGCCATTATCTAAAATAGCCATAATTGAAATTGGGATATGTGACTGTGATTTATCATATATCATAATAGGTCTGCTGTACTCTTTACTAGGCGGTATATAAATAAAGATTACTACTACTATAGTGTAGTCACCTGCCAAGTAACTGGAAAAGTAATATCTTCTTTTATATGATTTAATGTGTTTTAAAAGGTATGACAGATACATTTACATTTGTTGAGTTTACTTTTTATCTATTTTTTGATTTCCATTTAACAAAACCCCTAAATGCTCCTAGACCTTAAGCTACCTGTCAGGAGCAGTGGTTTCTGTTGTGAACCTGATAACCCATCTTTAAGTGGATCAAAGTAAGGATCTAATAATATATGTCAATGCCTAAAAATGTAAAAAAAAAGTTGGAATCCACCTTGTATTTAGTTCACGGCTCATAACTATCTTCAAAAACACATGCAAAGACCTTCTTATGGGGTTGGCTCTAGCAGCAAAACACATTTCCAGTTTTTTTTTATCCATTTTGCAGTCTTCTGTCCTAAATTTTATACGAGACAAATGACACAGACGCTTTACCATATGGCCTCGTTGCTTTGACCTCCCAGCGTTTTGTTGAGGTATTCAAACAAAGAAGAACTGACGTCAGGTTTGAAAGATGCAACTGTGACGTAGATTCGCATAAATTTACATAATCTCGTTGTGGGCTCCTGGATAATCTTTGTTATCTTTTGTTAGATATAAAAAAGCAAATTGATGGATAATTTGTTTCCTTTTATTCATCTCTACACATCACAATTATTTTAACATTTGTTGATATGATGACACAATTCTTAAAAAATGTATAATTTAATGAAATGCAGGGAAATCGTAAAATTTTTCTTTTTTTGGTTGCTTAATTTAAAATGACATAAAAACACAAAATATTAAAATAATACTGAATATTTATCTGGCAACAATTGTTTTCCCGTGTGGATCAGATTGAGCAGTGATATTCCTCCACATTGGTGCAGAGTCTGGTTTGAGTGTTGGCTGGTGACCTCTGAGCCCCAGAGCAGGTGCATGTGGCCTCCATGAGCAGAGCACGTCCCGAGGTCTGGAACTCCCCCCAATCTGAACAAATGACGATGGGAAACAAGAAATATTTATACAAAGTTGGCTTGTATAATCATTTTAGATACAGTTTGTTATTTATTTGACATTAATGACATTGGCTGTTTGGTATATACAAGCTTTTATACATACAAAACTTGCACCCCACCAAAACAGAATTATGTCAGGTTTAATTAATTTTTTTTCACATTATATCTTTGTCTTACATTTTAGCAGTCCAAATAGTCACTCTTTTTGAAGTTTCAGACCCCAGTAAGTTGACAAGAGTGTGAACATTAGCAATGTACCTAAATGTTTCAAGAAAATAAAATGCATTAGACAGATCTGCAATAGGGCTCAAAACATGTAACCATATTAATACTGAGAATATGTTTGCTATATAAATGCAAGAGCAAAAAGGCACTATTTAAGCTCTATTCTATTCTTTCTTAACTACTTACTGAGAATCATAACTAAACTACTGGTTGCTGAAAAGGCTTTCTGCATGTTGCACTAATGTATGTGTGAATGATATGAAATGTGAATGTTAAATGCAGTTGAATAGGGTCTGAGAACACTGTGGGTGGAGTAATGCAGACAGAGCAACAGGGCAGTGGGGGCAGATGTATGAGAAATGCCCCAGGGGGAAAGTGTGCCGCCACAGACAGAGGAAAGACTGGGGCAAAAGGGCAAATCTGTGACCCTACTCCCCCCCTGCACACACACACAGACACGCACGCACACACATACACGGTAACACAAGCACAGGCGTTCAAAGAGTGGTCCGCTCTTCACGAGACAATACAGGTTTCATGAAACTGGATCAAACGAGAGACGCCGCATTGTTCAGATTCAAATAACTTATTATGTAGAATATTTTGGGGTCATAACATACTCTCTGAGAACTTGCATTGAGAAGGAGCAACATACAAGCAGGCTCACAAAGGACAACGTTAAAATATGTGTTAATTACAGTAGAAATCTCTATTGGGAATACTGACATTGCACATTCAGAATACTACTTTTGAGTAACTGTATTTGGTTGATATATCTTGAAGACAGGAAGTGCTTTGTTGAGATTGGAATTCTTTTTACGATCACAGTTCTTCCAGTTTTTAGGTCTCTGGACTGCCTTCCTGTAGCTCAGAGAATAGACTAGGCAGCCAAGTCTCTCCATGGCCTCACACCAAAGTGCCATATGAACTCGGACTCTGAGGAGCATAGGGACTGGCCTCCTGCTGGGACTTTGAGGAGCACGGGGACTGCTGGTGCCCAGAGTCAGGACTAAACAACTTCAACAAAGATAATTCAACAAACAATAAATTCAATAAACCTAGAATACTGTACTCCAAAAGGACAAATGTTTTTAGGGCCATTATTCAAATGGCAATTGTATGCTTCCATTGATGAATAACAACAAGCCTAATAATACTAATCTGACAGCCTCTTGTGCGTTTTCACATCAGCCTCAATGTATTTCTGTCTGTTACACATATGATTGTTTTTGCACCATTTTGATACCACACATGATTCCACACATTCTCCCTGGATGTTTTGTTGTGGCCACATTCACCACAAAGAATGTACAAACAGACTGTATCCGTGAAGAGTAAACACAATCATATGAAACTTGAAAGACTGGGGAGGGTTCAGCACATAGTTGTGGATCTTCAAAAAGCAAGAATAAAAGAGGCCACTTCCTTTTAACTAAAGAATGCCATGTCCTTCACTGTCTTTGGTCCTTATCTTTCTTTATGGGCTGTAAAAAGTGCTCAGATGCTGATAGCGAACTGTTGATGGTCAGACTATTGCTCCCTTTGCAAACATGCATGACCTTAACAAGCTGTAGCAGTCTTGCAAAATATTAAAAAACAAAATAAATAGGTCAGTGTTGAAAATGATTGAAAACTATAGAAAATTCTGCTCTATTTTGCTGTTCAAGTTAAATGAATTCCATCGTTGTGCTTCAAAGTTTGAGGCGAAACATGTGTGGCCGTATCTGAATGGCAAGTTCATACACAAGTGCTTACCTAAAACAAGGCACAAACTCCTAAATATCACAGTAAAATAAAAAAGACTGGCAATACTATCCTTCAGTTGTACGCAGCTAAACAGATCTGTTTTTAACCTGGATTTGATCATTGTCAGTAGACTGTCTCACATTTTCAGGAAGACTGTTCCAGATAGCTGCATAAATCTGAAATTCTGCCTCTCCATGGTTAGTTCTGACTCTGGGCACGAGCAGGAGGCAAGTCCCTGTGTTCCGCAGAGTCCCAGCAGGAGGCCAGTACCTGTGTTCCTCAGAGTCCCAGCAGGAGGCCAGTCCCTGTGCTCCTCAGAGTTCTTGTTGGTTCATATGGCACTAACATGTCACAGATTTACTTTGATGCGAGGCCATGGAGACACACACAAACAGATCAGCTTTGAAGTCTATTCTCTGAGCCACATGACGATATGTAAAACACTTATTCACTCATAAAAAAAAAAGAAAAAAAAAATGTCAAAAACTACAATATGCATGGCTAGGTGTGTAAACTTTCAATCTAAACTATATAACCCATCATCACAATCGAGTTTAACTCTCTACTTTAGCCAATCAACTCCAAGTGCAATTTTAGCCCCAGAGTTTATTTTACTTTATTTTATTCTTTGTCTTATTTCAATTATATTGTCTATTACCTTCAATAAGAGACTCAATTTGTATACTGCTTTAGTACTGCTTATTTTTATGCTTAGAGATGTTATTTTATTTTATTTTAGTATACAGTTATTATTCATTTTATCTTGTGCTGTGCTCCCCATTCCTACTGTTCTGTAACTTGTGATGCAACACTGAACATTTCCCCACTGTGGGATTAATAAAGAATCTTAACCTTAATCTTAAAGCAGCATCATACAGATAAAAATGCCTTTAAAGTCCTAAAATAAAACATCTTGACTGTTTACTTTAAAGAAACAGTATCCATTCATGCATTGTTTTCCTCAATAGCTCTTTAATAATGACCCGAGTCTAAATTTCCCATAATCCTCTGTCAGCCTTGTGATGCATTACATTTGTATAACATTAGCAAGGTCACATCCCACGGCCAGGGCGCACTGGACTCCATGAATGAAAGCAGGTCACAGCTCTGGACAAATGTTGAACTTCAGACACAGAGAAGAAAGCTGGGGTCGTGCCTCTCTGAGATTTGGATCCGCAGCCAGTGGTCGGCTGTGATGTTTGAAGAGTCCGATGAAGAGCCGCCCCCATAAAGCCCCCAGTGGCGTCTGTGAAGCTATTGTCGGAGATGTGAAGGAACTAGAAATGAACAAAGGACACACTCAGGCTGCGATACTGCATCTGCACTGAATTGTTATGCAAAAATATGATTCAATAAGCATATTCTTAAGTAAATAAATGGTTAGAATTCGTGAAATGCCCCGACATATATGGATTGTAATAGTGGCATGGTGGATGAGTGGGTAGTAATATATATACTTCACAGCAAGAAGGTTGTGGGTTTGATCCTGTGTTGGCCTGGGCTTTTCTGAGTTGAGTTTGCCTGTTTCTCCGGGGATCTTTTTTCTCCGCATCACTTAAAACAGGAACTACAAGTGAAACTCAGGTAGAAATAGTGAAACCAATACCTGATACATTCTCATTACATGCAAAGTGACATATGCCAACAACCTGTGTTGTTTTATTTTGTAGGATTATGGCCGACAGTCCATTTCCAAAAAAACTTTTTTTTTTGTTTTAATTGGGTTTCTTTACAAGCTGTGTGCCAGTTATAAAAATGTTAACAAATACAGGCTTGACACACACTTTGCGTGTAAATACTATATATTAGTTTCACACAAATTTTCCAAATCAACCATAATGTAAAATTCTGATGGAGATGGGTCCCCTGGAGGGTTCTGCTCTGCTTGTAGTGATGAGCAAATGAACAAAACAATTGAAATAAATAGACAATTGGTCATTGAAATATATTTAACTCCTTATTGAGAAAGAACTCAAAAAGTGACACAACACAGCCCTTGATGAAAAAGGTTGGGGCACTGGACAGCGATTGCCGTGATGGGATATCACACAAACACATCAGGTATGTTCTTTGAACTCATGTCCAACACAAATATGGAAACTTCATCATGGGCTGTGGTCAGAGCTGCGGGGAGGATGCCTTTCCGTCCTGCGTATCTCCTTCTGATTAACAGGAAAGGGTCATCGTCCTCTGACATCTCTTTGTCTCTCGAGTATTGGCGGAAAGATGGCGGTCAGGTTCAAGTCCTGTTTGGGAACGAACAACATGAGCACAGTCACATCTACAGGAAGAGGCTATCTCAGTCCTGCGCGGCTATTTTCTGCCACTGAAATCATTCTGAGAAATATCTCTACCGTTGTTTTGGTTTCCTTAAACTGACCAGATATATTTAACGTGAGAAAGCCATGTTAAGCAAAGATCAACATAAGCTGAGAGTATGGAAGATGTGTGGAATTGGGAAGTTGCTTGTCCAAGTCCAGTTTGACCACAGACCCATCAACAACCCAATAGTTTTAAAAGACATTTCATTTTAGTCTTAAAATGTAGATGTTTTTTATACTATGGGATACATTTATCATTGGTTTTGTATGAAAAAGAGATTAGTATTTTGAGCAAACTTATCTATGATGCACATGTAAAAAGCCCAAATAACTGAAATAAATTGGGTTGGCTATAATGATCCAAAAGGAGTTAGACTTAGGGTAATAGGGTTTAGGGTTGGACACAACAAAAAGATTGAGTCCAGACCCTGGTGGTGGTGGAATTTGAGCTGATGACATGTGATACCTGTGACTGATGGGGAGGAGGGGAGTTAATGCATGAACAGCAGCTGAATGCAGAGACTGTGAGGCTCTGCAGGTCAAGGTGATTGGTGTCGTAAAAAGGAGGATTCAAGTGTGGCAGTGTGAAATTAAATAAATGGGTGACTGGTTTTGGGTGGGTCTGTTGGTGGCCTGGTTGACGGGTCAGTGGGCATATAGAACTGTGAAACTGTTTTTAACCTGTCAATTCAATCTGTAAAGACAATTGTGCTTTTTAAATCCAATCTGATTGATAACTGATTTCACATAAGCCAGGAACAGAATATTTGGTCCAAAGAACAAAGCGAACACACAAGATTAGAAGGACACAGTAATTTGATAGACCACTTTTTGTCAGACAGAAAGTAAAGCAGAGTGGATAACCCCTGCAGTAGCCAGTACTCGCCCCAAAGGTCATTCATGGACTTATTTATGTTGTGTAACTGTAGCTATAGTCACATTATTGTGTCTGGTTGTAAAGTAAAGTGCATCCCAAAAGACAAACACTGCAGCGCTCACTTTCTCACAGCTCGCTGTTTCTCAGAGTGAGAAGAGTTTGGTTTGTTACGTTTGGGTCGAAGCCACTGTAGATATGCATCTGAGTCACAGAGCAGGAAATCACAAATAAACTCAGGGACACATCAAATTAATTAAAACATACGCACAATCCTGCTTTTCCCCAAAAACTATAAAGAAGATGAAATTCCCAGAGAGCTAAGGCCCAAATTCATCTCACAGGGATTTTGTGGGAAAAGTTAAGACATTATTTATTCTACCCACAGCTCAAACCGAGTGTGTTCTAATTAAAGCTACACTCAAATACTAACAAGACAGTGTTTGTGCAGTGAATTACTGTAGGACCAGTGCAAATGTAAGTATTTTCTGTTTCCACTGTACCCGTTTATCACAGTAATTATGCTAAGTGCTGTTGTTCTGTACTGTATACGTCTAATATTCATAAATACATTTACACTAAATACAACTTTTCCAGTGACAGTTTCAGGCCACCTGCTTGTGTCTGTGCAGAGGTTTAACTACTTTTCCTGGGTGGCAAAACAATACATATTTTTAATGTTAAACAATAACAAGAAAAACTGGTGTCACCTGCTTGTCTCCGTACAGATCACCGTTGTAAAGGTGAAGGTAAAGGTGCACTTTATTAATCCCCGTACAGCAATTCAATCCTCTGCGTTTGACCCATCCTGATGCCACGAAGGCTTACGACAGGAGCAGTGGTTGCCGTAGATGTAGATCCAGATGTTGATGCTCGGCTTGGTCAGGACTACCGGAGCTGGAGGATTTAACCTAGTGAGCATGTTTTTAGTGGTAGGGGAAACTGGAGTACCCGGAGGAAACCTACACAGGCACGGGGAGAACATGCAAACTCCACTCAGAAAGACACTGTTCCGACCGGGACTCGACCGTGCCGCCATGTGATCACTCCAAAGTTATTACTCCCAATGATGACAAATGATAAAGGATAGCTAGTAGTTTACAGTATAATCAATCCTTTATTAGCTTATTAGGTAATTAACCTTAGTTTTTATAAGCACAAAGCTAAAGTAGCTTTGCAGATTAAGGGAAAAGTAAAAATTAGGATTTTGCAGTATGAAAATTTGAAGTAGCAAGAAGCAGAATTGTGTTTGGATGCTTAGTCAACAAACCCATTCAAAAAGGACATGTTTGCAGCGGGAGACAAGTGCAGCATGTGGCTTACATTTAGTGCTGGGCTGTTTTTGCTTTTTCAGAGGCTTGTTTTGGTTCAATCCCCTCAGGAAGTGTCCGCTCTGGTGCGAGGAGAGGAAGTTTATTCTGCTGCTGCTGCACTGGGCCACGTTTTTGTTGGGGCTCCTCACCAGGAAGCATGGACCCTCACACTGGGCTTTATCTGCCATTAAAACTCCACATGCAGCAGCAAAACACACATTACCACAGCCACAATTTACAACCTAAAGCCGCATAAAGGCAAAGTAATGTTATCTGCTCACAATTTGGACTATTCGACTTTTTATGAGGAGTGGATTTTTATTGGGGATCATGTCTTCTGGTCTAGATCATTTCACTATTATTTATTGCAAATAGCGTCTCGCAAAATTACTAATCTAGAATCAACCAACTAACCCAAAAAATCTGGGGGGAAAATTAGGTATCAGATTCAGATTCAGATTAATTTATTTGCCATTTTCAGTAAACCACATAGGAAAAACTGTGCAAGACTACCCCAGTGTGCACCACACACACCAGAGCTCTTGCCACGAGCCAAATATTCTAAAAATATTTTTGGAACACCTCTAGTACCAATATATAGCATCAATTGTTCCTTATCTACTAAATTATGACATTTAGAAAGTGGGAGGAGGCTGAAATCAGACATAAATTGGACAAATATCTGTGGAGAGGTAGTGGGAAAATGACAGTATTTGAGCAGTAAAAATAATTGTCATTAAATAATCTATGTTTTCTATTATACAAAGGTACAGTACATTCCAAGCAAAGCAATAAAAGCAAGTACTGTATATGAACTATAGTCACAAAACACAATGCTCCTTTATTTCATGTATTTTTCTCTCTTCTTATAGGCTTGTTCCCAGCAACAATCTCCATACGGCATTGCAAAATCAATTGTGAGTAAATGTTTATTACAACACAGGGAGGTCATTGTGCATAGTGTTGCCCACTTCAAGGCCAAAGAGGCTGAATAGACTGTAATCCATCCACAAACAGTAAACACCTTTTTTCCCTCGGTTTCTCTGAGAAGTCAGCATTGTCGCATTGTTTGGGACAAGTTAAATTTTCCTGCGATTGTGGCCCCATGGTCAACAATCAAACTAAAAACAAGTGTGTAATGTCATTGCTTATCTACGGGGGATGTGTCGCAAGTGTGTGTAGCCTTTGATACTAACCCTGCTTATCTCTTGATTGTATCGCTCAAAGCTGAAGTCATTCAATAAAAGAAAGTTATCTCGAGCGAGCAAATAACGCAATCAGATAAGATAGAAAGTGTATTGATCCTGATAAGTAATCTAACGGGGAGTTTCCAGAGTGAGAGGTTTTTGACAGTGATATATGATTGAGGTCAATAGAGGGTTGCTTTCTGAATTTTCTGTTTAAATGACTTGCCCTAAAAACAAATATAAAACAATGGTTGAGTAAACGTATCAATCTTTCACTATTTTTCACCTAGAGCTGTAACAAATGAATCGATGATTGAAATAAACGACTAATATTTTAAAACATTAGTTATTTGTTTAACTGTACATAGACTGAGAAGATGTTTTATGGCTCAGATAATTCTATAATAATTGCAAAATGTGTTTACAAAGTATTTTTAATCAAACCAAACATGTGTAACGAGTCATCTCTATATCAGTGTTTCCGGGGCAACACTTTGTTTTGGTCGATTGTCTAAAAATTAAGAAAAAAATCAATGTTTACTGAGCTTTTGGGAGCTAAACAACTAAATAATTAATCAAAAGGACAATGGGCGTACAAATGTATGATCAAAATAATCATTAATTACAGCCTGAAAATGTATCCTGACCGATCTGCGTGCATGGAGTATTATTTGTTTGGAATTTAAAAAGCATAATTTATTTATTATTGGATTGATTAATTTTTAATTTTTAGTTATTTTTCTATTTTGGACGACAAACCAGATGCACTGCCTTTAGTGTTTTAGCAAGACCACAGATGTTTATTCCCCTGTGGATCAAAACTGTTTACCTAATGTCCAATTACTTTTTATATATAATTATTTACATTAATATAGCATGATTCATATTTACAAAAAACATTGCACAAATTTCAACTGGCAAAGATCATCGCTGACAGAGCTGTCCCACTCTGCTCTCGTCCTTTGTGTTGGATGTAAACAAACACCATAGTCTCTGCTGTTGCTTTGTGCTCGTGACTCTATAAGTTGAACACAGTTTAAGTTGTGCACACAATCGCTGGGCGGCCTCTCTGCGTTTCATCCTCGTTGTTCTCAGCCGACCTGCGAATTACTAGAGGGAAGAAGATACTCTTTTCACTCAGGTGTTTCACGGAAAACTGCTATGCTGGAGCCACACTCGCTTCCTTCCTTTTGTGTCAGCGAGACATGGAGACAAAAGACAGTGGAATATATACATCCCAAAAAGACAGAAACGGCCTCTTCATGTTGTGATTCCTTTTTTGGTAGGTATTTGTAGTTCACAAGTCATGCAATATAGCAAATACTGTTTTTTCTAGTTCTTTGTAGTCTGTGGTTAATTTAGCGTGTGTCTAATATGTGTATTTTTATTGTGGTAGAGTTGTGTAGATTTTATGGACTTATTATTTTGTTTTAGATACTTTTGCTAACGGTTAAGCTGTTAAACACCTTGCCATTAAATCATGTTGTGGATTGTCATTATCTGCTACATTACATTATGAAAACCTGCTAAATGTATTTTATTTTCAAATTAAGCTGGTGCGGCTCATGTACAGGTGCGCCTTATAGTCCAGAAAGTACGGTATATGTTTTACCCTGTGTAGTATTGGGTACAAGTACTTAGCAAGTGTATTTACAGCACGCTGAACACCTGCTTTAATATATATTGTGTAACATAGTCTGTAAAAAGTTCCAATCAGAAATACAGATTACTTATATATGAGAAAGTGATTTGCAAAAATGTGTAAATGGAGCAAAACAATTTGTTGTGCATTGTTAGTTAATATTCATTTAATATTTGGGCTGAAAGCTGGTTGGGTGGTCTAGGCATTATCAACTTTTATGTTCTATTGATGTAAACATGGATTGACAAATACAGTATGTACACTACCGTTCAAAAGTTTGGGGTCACCCGAGTGTTTTCCATGAAAAGTCACACTTATTCACCACCATACGTTGTGAAATGAATAGAAAATAGAGTCAAGACATTGACAAGGTTAGAAATAATGATTTGTATTTGAAATAAGATTTGTTTTACATCCAACTTTGCTTTCGTCAAAGAATCCTCCATTTGCAGCAATTACAACATTGCACCAAAAACCAGACATTTGCAGCTAGAATAGTCATTTACCACATAAGCAATGTATAGAGTGTATTTCTTTACAGTTAAGGCTAGTTTAAAGTTATCTACAGCTTTTCCTTCAAAAATAAGGACATTTCAATGTGACCCCAAACTTTTGAACGGTAGTGTATGTTTTTACTTCCCTCTTCTGTTTGAGATGAATGTTTTCTATGCTCTCTTCTTTTATTAATTAGGTATCCTAGCTTTACCTAGATATAAATGAGGACTGGTAAGTATATAACAGTATAAACTAGAAGCAAATATCAAGTCAGCCCTTCCAGTAGCTTTTGCGCAATCCTCCACACACACATGCACGCACACACACACGGACGATCACAATACCCCTTGGCCGGGCAGTAACTCAGCTGAGAACCACTGAACAGGATACAGCACATATTACAAAGTACATGACCATAATAAACCATTTGCTTTACAGTAATTTCAAGGCTTGGGGAGGTTCAGGCCACTGTGGCATGGCCTGGCAGAGACAGTGGGAACAGAGGTGCTTGGTGCAGTTCTCATGGAAAATGACACATTGAAATTACACATTGGGAAAAATACAATAACAACATTCTCTGTGGCACCACCAGTTTGTAAATGTAACCAATCGTGGTCTCACAAAACTGCCAATTAGTGGTAAAAGGGTTTGTATAGTCATGGTAAGTGGGGATTTGACATTTAGACATTTGAAATAAATTGACTTGTAAATGTAGCTTTTTAATTAAATCCAGCTGCTTTGTCTGACATATCCGAGTATTTTTAGTCCAAATCCGTGTTAAATATAGGCAAATAAAGGCAAGGGCAAATGTCAATCACTGCACAGCACAATGTAAAAAGGCCTCGTTTGATGTTTCAGCATCCTGTTTAAGCAACATTTTAAGGACCTTTTAATCACAAAATATTGGTCATAGTTAATCCACCGTTTATAGAATGGTGGATTAAAAGAACGTTGAACACATAACTACCAATTAAAATGGTTACGGCAACCGAAAAACTGGTGACAATCCGTTTTAAGAGCGTATAATCTTACTGAAACACTTAATCGAAACACTCCCACAGTACACACAATTGCATATTTTGTTTTGTTCAAATTTCTTCAAACCCCAAGACTCCTGCCCTCAAAAGTAGCCCATACCTGCAAATGCTGTTGATATTCAGGGAGTCTCTCAAAAAATGTCCCAATGAAGCTTCATAGTAACGTCTTAAAGTGACAGTACTCCCATTAGGAACAGGGGTTTGTGCAAAAATGCTTATAGATGGATCTCTACAAAGAGCTGTCAGTAAGAACTAGGGAAGACCCAATCCAATATTGTTTTCCTTTGATACCCCATTGCTAAAATTTACGAATTAACTGTTAGCTTTCATGCCTCAATCAATTTTGAACTATTGCGACTAAACCCAGATGGAGTCAAAATAATAAGTCCATAAACTCAACTCTACAGACATTGGCTGCTTCACTATACTGTACTGTAAATGCTGCAGGGTTCAAAGAAACTGAGAAAAGTAGTGCCTTTTAGTCTGGCAATTAGTTATTTATTCAACAAAACATTGACTTTTACTTAAGTAAGAGGGTGATTTTGATACTTTGACCTTTGATGCCCTATTGATAAAATGTTGTCCTGATGAATATATAAACATGTAAAAGTATTAGGATCTGTAAAAAAAAAAACAGGATCAGGACATCTGTATGTACCAGGTTGAAGGCGTCTTGTCTTGTAGCCTATGGTGCTTCTTTTCCCCGTCACTGATTATGTGATAATGTTTGTTTGACGACCTCCTTTTGGCTCAAACTGCAGATCCTGATGTGATAATCTGTCCCGGTCAGCAGCCCTCACACCAGCGCCGTGATACATGAAATCAGA